ATGATTCTCATTTCATCATAAGGGGGAGTATATGTAATATGAATGAAATATTCATTTCCGAACATTGTTAAAGGGGATTTGATGCAAATATCAAGGGGGAGTAACTTTCAGTAGTGGCAAAAGACTCAAAAGAAGAAGTGCGACTGAAGATGTTTAAAGAATGATTATTTGTGTGCTAAATTGAATGAGAGATGTTGAATGTGAAGATCTTCTTCACAAAAGTTTACTGAAGAAGTGTTTTCTAAAGATTCTTTGAAGAACAAATCTTGTATAGCATTTCTGAAGATCGTTTTTGATTTACATTGTCAAAAGAGAAGATCACCGTGATTCTACATTCGAGGGGGAGTGCTAGAAGATCTTTCTCAACATTTGTTCGTTTGAAGATTACAAGTTTGAAGATTACATGCTGAAGATTTCATTTGAAGATGACATTTTGTGCATAAAGTTTCAAAGTTCAAACAAGTACTCAACGTGCAGAATTTTCTTTCAAGTCTGAATACAAAGGGGGAGAATGTTAGGACTGAAAAATCAGTGTTAATTGTATTCGTCTTGAAAGATTAACTTTAGTCTATAATTGTAAAGTCAGCGTGTTTGACTTTCATAGACTAGTTTGATTTTGACTTTGTTAGTTAGGATTGACCATATAAATATGGTTTAATCTTTGTAATTAGGTGAAGGGAGCTTATTTGTAATATTCAGATTAGTAATAAGAGGTTTGACTGAATTGAGAGGATTGACTTTCTCTCTCAATATTCATAAAGTGTTCATAGTGTTCTTGAATGATAAATCYATGAATCTGCCATTGAAGGAAGCTTAATATGAAGATTGATCAGTGATTGTGGACACACAACTCGTTTGTAAATTAATATTATCTACTATAACATTTTTATGTAGTATCAGTAATTTGTTTCATCATCAAAAACATTCTATGATATACTTTTGGTACATAGAATGACATCATTTGATGTCACAAAGTCAATTATTCTAATTTCCAAGTGATACTATGTAAATCAATGTAAATAAGTTGGTTTTCCATGTCATCTCATATTAATGTTTTTTAACATCATTTTAAACTTTTATATTGTGTTTTCGAATTCGGGAAGATTAACACCATTTTAAACTTTTATATCATGTTTTTGAATTTAAGAAGATTAACAACATTTTAAACTTTTTATATTATGTTTTCAAACGTGGGAAGGAAAGAAAATAATGAGAAAGGAAAAAAAAAATAAAGGAAGAAAAACAAAGTTTTTATTTGTATTTTTAATAGAGTAGAGAGTGGAAAGAAAAATAATGAAATAAAAATAAATTTTTATATAATTTTTTTCTTTTCTCTAAAAAAATCTCGAGAACAGATTATTTTTCTTCCCCTATTACTTTCATCACTTTCCTACATAAAAGAAGATTCAAGAACATAGGGTTAGGGTTAAAATAAACTTTTTTGTAATCATCGATTGTATAAATTAAAAAACTCATGTTGGTGATAGTTTAAGATTCTATTCTTCTTTTAGAGATAGAAAATTTACATACGATTTATATACTCAATATTAGATAATAAAAAACAACTATGAAAAAACAATTGTAGTTTTATTACTCTAAATATAGATATAAGTTGTACCATCTTATATGGTTGATAATTTTTTCAAAAGACGAAGGTTTTATTAGCTAATAACAAGAAAATCTATTATATATTCTAATATAAAAGTAGAATTCACGAGAGAATGAAACAATTAAAAGAGTCAATGAGAGATAAATTATGGATAATATATCAAAGTTTTCGAAGCAAGTAGTTTTAGATGTCGATTTTAGATAAAAAAACTTAGAAAAACATTAAATAATATTATATAATGAACGACATATTAACCTCTTTATGTATTTTTTTCTCCAATATATTTAATTTATACATGTTTAGGTCTTTAATAGTTGATGTAGTACCAAAATCTTTTCTTGTCATATTAGATATTAATTTTTTTATGTGTCTTCTATTTACTAATTTTTTTGAACTACTATTATATATATTAAAAAAATTGGGCCCTTAATTTTTATGGGCCCTGGACGTACGCCCGGCCCGCCCTCCCCAGGGACGACCCTGATCACGATGTATCTCGCTGCATTGCGCGATTACGCTTCTAGTATAATATAGATAGTATAGATATGGGCAAAATGTACAAAATAACAATCTACTTTCATAATATTTTTTTATTATAGCATTGTACTTTCAATTTTTCTTATTACAACAATGTACTTTCAAACTATTTTTTATTAGGATATTGTACTTTAAAAAATTTACTCATTATAGCATTGGGTAACCTTTTGATTTAAATTTACCCATTATACTAGGTTTCCATGCCATCTCATTGTCCACGTAGGCTGTCCACATGTATTATAGTGATGTGACTTTCTTACTGCATCATTGTACTTTCAAATTTATTTTATTATAACATCTACTAGTTCTTATTAAACACTGTATTTTTAATTTTAATATTTAGATATTTTACATGTTATTTAATAAATGTATTAAAT